CTAACCCACCTATACTGTTGTAACCATCCTGTATAATTGGTTTACATACTGGGATCTGAGGATGTGTGTACTGGTTTATCCCTTTGTGGCTGCATATTGTTCTTAACTGTCTTGTTTTGTTTACTACTGGCCATTTAATATAAGCACCAGTTTCACACAGACAGCTTACTTGTGTACGTGTACTTGTCTAGTACGGTTCTGAGAGTGTTTTAGATCATAAAAACAGGCAGTGTAGGGAGACATCCAGTGGGGACAAATAAAACTGCAGGCCATAAGTACCTTCCACAGGTCGAGCTCATGCAGCAGGGGAGGTAATATTTTGAGCCCCATCTGGTTGAATATGTTTCATTACATGGACATTTTAAACAGAGGTTTAAAACGACCTCACTGTTGTCAGAGTGATTACGCAGGAGGCCGGTGTTATATATCAGTCCCACCATATCTGAGGAAGCTCGTTAGGTCAGGCGTCACTCATGGCCACCAAATCTGTATTTTTACTTCTATAAAAATGAGTTAATCACCACACAGTTAATGAACCAGAAGGATGCGATACAGCAATGCACTTACTTACTTCATTCAAATGTGTACATCATTTCCTCAGTTCCACATAAATAAACTTCTGTAAGTTACTTTAGTGAATAACTGTGTTGATGTAATATTTTATTCATATAAAACTGATGTACACATTAGAATCAGATCAATTCACTGTACGTTCTGCGTCACTGAGATCACTACAGATGTAGGGAAAGCCCAAATTACACCCACATACTCTATAAACCACCAGCACTTTTAATATGAAAAGCAGGGATGTCACTAGAGGTTCATGGATAGGTGGGCTAAGCCTGTACCGGGGGGTCTGGCGGCATGGTCCCCAAAGAGGATTTTTTTAATGGCTCCAAAATGTTTATATTGCACTTTTAGAGCAGCAACAGACAGAAAACGTCAAGAACATCAGCCATCAAAAAAGCTTATTTGGTCAAATTGGCACAGATCTGCCTCTTTGTGGTTTGTATTAAGCACAGAGCTAATATAACACTGTACCATCCACTTACAACAGGCACAGAACAAGCAAAGGTACTGAAGTCAAGCGAAGCTCTGCAACGCCCTAAATATATTTTATATATATATATATATATATATATATATATATATTATACACCACACAGATTATATATCAGTTCAGTCTCAGCTGGAGTAATCAGAAAGAGTGTCATTTTGCTCTGTACGCATGTTTAATAAACTCGGTGACAGAATTTGATGGTCATCGTGACAAACATTATATTTTCTCAGATGAGTTAAACTAAATTCAGTCTTAATTTTTAACCAGAACAGGAAGAGACTTGACAGGCTCATTAAGAGGGCCAGCTCTGTCCTGGGAAGCCCCCTAGACCCAGTGTAGGTGGTGGGAGACAGGAGGATGTTAGCCAGACTAGCATCCATGCTGGAGAACAGCTCCCACCCCATGACTGAGACTCTGGCAGCACTGGGCAGCTCCTTCAGTGACCGGCTGCTTCACCCCAAGTGTGTGAAGGAGGGCATCGCAGGTCCTTCCTGCTGCTGTTAGACTGAACAACCAGCACTGTTCCCAGTAGAACCTCCTCCACCCCCTTTATACTGTTCATTTTTGTGAAGCATAGAGTTTATTTTTACGTTTTTTTCTTAGTTTCTTTAGTTTTATATATATTGTCTAAAGTATAAAGTACCAAGTAACAAACTGTAAAACTTTGTTAAGTAATTAATAAGCTTAATGTGCTTTGCTCTCCCTTTGCTGCTGTAACACTGAGAATTTCCCCTATCTTATCTTATCTTATCTTATCTTATCTTATCCAACTCTTCCTCACTTTTCTCTTGATCACTATCCTCCATCAGATCTGTTCCTTCAGTCCTGTCAGTCTCCTTCAGCTTCTCTCTCGCTCTCTCTCTCTCTCTCTCTCTCTTCCTGTGTTTAGAAATACATTAATTTTATTAACCTCAGATTTACAAAAACTCAAGGAAATAATAATCAATCAATTTATTTATTTGTTTACTTATTTTGTTTTAACTGGTAAAAATCTCATCTGACCAGCCTTCAATGGAGCTGCTGCCTCTTAGTTTCCATCTACAGATTGAAGAATTGAGAAAATTGAGGGATATAAACTGGTTATGATGACCTTTTCACACAAAGCTGGTCAGTTTCTCGTTTGAATTTTCCTGTTCCACCTTAAATGCTGCAGCAGTTGCATTCTGGCAAACATAATCTGGCGAATAGGAAACTAGTTCAGCCTCGTCCTTTTCACTGACATTAAAATACTGTAAACAACAACATCTGGCAAATATGGTGTCATTGTTTCCACATAGATGAAGAATATAAAGAGCTGTGAGTGACGTTATTTCTGTCCCTCCCGTTCGTTCACTCTCTCACACTGACTGTGAGGTGAGGTTAAACCAGAGACTCTGTGGGTTAAACTAGTTGGCCTGTCAGCTAGTTAGCTGATGTTAGTGTTAGCCTAGCCTCTTTTCTTTAACTCACTTAAACCCAAAGGCAGCTAAAGTTAGCTAGAGTTAACAACCAACTGAGTAAAAAACAGACATCCAGCTATACTGACCACGATTTACCACAAATCCATATTGAAGGTGTATTAATTCACTCTGTTTAACTCTGTTTCACTTTGTATTTTACAGATTTTGAAGAAGCGTATGAGGTCTGATATGATTGGCTTACAGCGTATGAGGTCTGATATGATTGGCTGAATGTTATGTTAGTCAGTCTCTGGTAGTGCAGCAGATGCAGAGCCATGAAGAGAAAATCTCTACATAGGTCTGAGCAGAGTCAGCGCTGCATTAGAGCAGCAGCAGCACCTCCTGCAGGGCAGGCCCTGCTATTACAGTATATTGTGAACAAGAAAAAGCTCTAAGTGATTTGGACTAGTAATGTACATTTATTTAGGAAGGGGCAGTAAATGGCATTTAATTCAGTATTGAAATACTGAGCATCTCATTCAGGAAATCCTTTTTTTTATTTTTTTTTGTTGTTACTTTGGGTTTTGGGCTGATAGAATTTGTGAAGACACTGTCCTGAACTCTACATGTTAATCCCATTCACAGATTATTCTTACACCTTGCTAATTCTAATTAAATGTGATTTAAATGCTACAATTAGTCAAGTAGTCGGCTTAGAGGGAGCAGCCCTCGCTTTAAGGCCTAAAATGCTTTTGAACAATGGTTTCTAATTGAAATCTTTGTTATTAATCTTTCTTAAAACATATTTTTGTTGTTATCATTATTAAAATTAATTAATGTATGTGATAAAACAATGGCTTATTGAGAACATAGGTGGGCCGTGGAGACCTTTATGCGAAAGTGAAGAGATGATTGACTATCAGACTCAATAAATCAAGCTATTATTTCTTATCTGAAAATCAGTGGTGTGACATCCTCATTGTAAATCCTTCATGCTTTTATTGTATATTGGTCAGGGCCAGTTTGTTAAGCACTGAATGTCCAAACGTTTGTAGAAACCTGCTCAGCTGAATTTCTGACATCAAGGGTATTAATACAGTTTGTCCTCCTTTGCTGCTGTAGCAGCCTCTGCTCTCCTGGAAAGACTTTTAACATCGCTGAGAGGATTTGATTGTATATTTAGCTACAAGAGCATTAGTGAGGTCAGGTACTGGTGTTGGATGGTCAGTTCTGGATCACTCCAACTCATCCCAAAGGTCTTGGACGGAGCTCCTTCACTCCAATGAAAGGAGTTCCACTACGTCACAGTCCAATGATGGGCGATTTTATACCCCTCAAGCTAACATCCGGCATTGGACATGGTGACCATGGGCTCATGTGCAGCTACTTCAGAGTTCACACTCTATAAGTGGTGTCTAGATACGTTTGGATATATAATATAGCTTGCAACAACACTAATTGGCCATTTTATCAGAAACACCAACCATATAGGTGCACTTTTTAGGTTTTCAGTTACAGCCCAGTTACACATCTGTAGTTACACAATTAATAAAACCTTTTAACCCTGTTCATCATAAAATAGCAGCTATACATCATGGCTTCACGGCCATCTTGACCACAAGATTACTGTGACACAGCTGTATAATTACAGCTGTATACTTAAGCTGAAATTAAAATACGGTATTCTTCTGTATTTTTACATAACAACTGCAAAAGTAACTTTAAATGTAAATTAATGTAAAAAGATCTTATTACAAGCAATTTTGGAGCATTTCCTTTGGTCCATTCATCATCAAATTTTTACACAATGTTAAGGACAGGTGGCGTACTCACAGATGTAGAAAAGTGGACACATGTTTCTTGGTGTAGCGACGTTATGCTGCTAGTTTGCTGGTGACCAGCGCTGCTGATCTGTGCTGTTTTTTTAACTGCAGTATCCTACTGTGAAAACTGAGTGTTCAGTATTGTGAAATCCTGACTGTCTGTTTCACTGACTATCAGTGAGAGTACAGAGCGCAGTAGTGTTACTAGGGCTTTACTGTGCGGCCACTTTGTTGGAAACCCCTCTCTTGTAGCACCACCTCGCTGCTGTACGTTTAGAGACTGTAGCCCATCTGCTGATGCCCAGTCTGTGTTAGCCATTCTTTAGCCCTTCATCTGACCACAGAGCCAGACATTCCTCAGTGGTGCTGGACACTCTCAACCTGGCAGTGACACTGGCGTGTGTTTAAGTCCCGGCACTTTCCACAGATGTAGGTGCCATAATGAGGGTCTCTAAGGAAGACAGTGTCAGGAAAAACTCCCTAAGAGAACGAGGAAGAAACACTGAGAGGAACCAAGACACGTAAGAGGAATCCATCCTCCTCAGGGCAACACTGGAAAGTGCAGTTATCAGAGAAAGAAAGAGAGGAATGCTGGAACGGCAGGTACAGTTGGGGAAGTTCACACTCACCAGTTTTTCTCCCTGAACCTGCTCAGTGAGCGCAGCCACGCCCCTAAATACCTGACTGGGTCTGGTGACAGCACCTCACCTTCATTACCAGCGTCAGTAACAGCTGAGTGATCCTTCTGTCCTTCAGACCATTTGGTTTTCTCTCCGTTTTGTGTTTCAATTCTATCCAATTGTCCATTTACTTTTCTGATTTTGTTTAATTTTGTTTCATTTTGATTTCTTCTCTTCTATCATTGTGTCTGTTTTGGGATTCTTCCTCTTCTTCTTCTATCCCTTCATCCATTTGCTTTTTTTGTTTTGTTGTTGTTCTATTTGGTTCAAACTTCTTCCCCAAAAGATGAGCAGCGGTCGTTTGTGGACAGAGGAGCAGTTTAACTGCCCTGTGTGTCTGGACCTGCCGACAGACCCGGTCACCATCCCGTGTGGCCACAGCTACTGCATGGACTGCATCGCTGACCACTGGGACTCTGAGGAGCAGAAGACCGGCACCTATAGCTGCCCGGAATGCAGACAGACCTTCAGCCCTCGGCCTCAGCTCTGCCGCAACACCATGCTAGCAGAGGCCGTGGAGCAACTCCGCAGTGGGAACCTCAGCTCCTCGGCCAGGGAGTCCATCCGGAAAGCCAGGCAAGCAGCCAAATCTGCCCAATCCAAAGCCAAACAGAGAGCACCAAAGCCAAAGCGGCTGCCCGCCTCAGCTGTGCCTTGTGACCGGTGCCAGGAGCCCAGAGCGGCCATCAAAACCTGCCTAGTTTGCATGGCCTCTTTCTGCCAGACCCACCTGAAACCACATCAAACTCAGGCTAATCTGAAGAACCATGAGTTAATTGGCCCGACTGCTGATCTAACCCAGAAGATCTGCCCCGAGCACAAGTACCTGCAGGAGTTCTACTGCCGCTCCTGCCAGATTTACGTCTGTTGGCTGTGCACCAGCAACCAGCACAAGGGTCACGAGTGTGTGTCCACACAGACGGAGCGTGTGGAGAAACAGGTACTGAGATCTCACACACACACACACACTGACGATGCACACAAATGAGTGGAGGAACATAACGAGATGTTTCCAGCTGTAGTGCGTGATACAATAAAAAGGCCCCACATTTTTCTGTATTTTATTTTATTCGTTGAGCCCCATTGATCATTTTTGTGTACCAAAAGGAGCAACTCCTCTTTACACGACCACTTTACAGCCACTATTTTTGTGACTGTGCCTTTAAGATTGTGTCTTATTTAAAAAGCAGTCTAGACTGAAACACTCCTTATAACTTCAGCATGAGTGAGCAGGGCTGAAATGCTGTGGGCCGAATAGGCAGACATGCATCAACTTACGTCACTTACGCCAATTTACGACTTTTCATTAAGTCCGCCTCCTTGTATCTACAGTCATTGTCCATTTTTTCAGCTCCACTGACCGTATAGTTTCACTCCGTAGTTCTACAGTTACAGACTGTAGTCCATCTGTTTCTCTGCATACTTTGTGACCCTGTTCTTCAGTGGTCAGGACCCCCATGGACCCTCACAGAGCAGGTACTGTTTGGGTGGTGGATCATTCTCAGCACTGCAGTAACACTGGTGGTGTGTTAGTGTGTGTTGTGCTGGCACAAGTGGATCAGACACAGCAGTGCTGCTGGAGTTTTTAAACACTGCGTCCACTCACTCGGTCCAGCAGCAACACTGAAGTGTTTAAAAACTCCAGCAGCACTGCTGTGTCTGATCCACTTGTGTATGGCAACAGTTTAGGTGACATACAAGCACCCGCACAAAGCGCATTCCAGCTCATTCCTGTTTATCGAATCAGAACATCCTTCATTTAATATTACGCTTAATTTCATTCGTATATTTAATCAATGTGTGCCTAATTTTTCCCTGTGATTTTATATACATTGACATACATCAGTAAACTGGTCCAACATTTATTTCCCTAAATCGAAAACTCCTTTATACAGTGAGATGCTTCATGTGTGTATTGTTAAGAATCTATATAACACTTTATTACACTGTAAAATATGGTAATGTATACATTCTAACACTGACACACTGTAAACCTGTCAGTCACCTGTGAGCTCATCCTGACTGTCTTTGATTCTGTCTCAGAAAACACTGACTGCAGTGCAGACAGAGAACCAGCAGAGGCTACAGGAGCGAGAGAGACAGCTAAAGGACATGAAGAAAGTTCTAGAGACCCTAAAGGTATCAGCTTTTACACACAACACACACCTTTTCAACACACAGATTCTTTCAGACACACTCAGAATAGAGCTGCAGTCTGAAGCTCATTATACACAAACAGTAACACATCCATCTAACGCCCTGAACACACCCTGCACTGTCCTCGGACACACAGGCAGGACTGGTAACGTGTGTAACACTCCTAAAATAGATGCTCACGTCTGTGACAAATGGAAAATTACATCACTTTCACTGTGGGCCTGTGAAATCACCAAAGGCCTCTTACAGACCCTCTCTGGTCTGCTTAAAGGGGATTTTTCAAAATTACTGCTTTATGAAATTGTTAAGATGTGAACAAAGTCATTGAGCATGGTTTGATGTGAAAGCTCAGTTCTAGAAAAACTTCCTAAGTCACAACTAGAACCACAACTAGAACCTGA